CCGCGGGGGGGGGGGGGGGGGGGGGGGTGCGACAGGTGCATACGCCCCCCCCCCCCCCCATTAACAAAGGTCCACATTTTCAGGGTAGAACATTAAAATCTCACTTTTACACATTTCAGAAATCCATCCACCAAACCTGCTTGACCAATCAGAGCAGTTTCCAACAAGACAAGCAACGACTTTTAACTGTCATAAAGGTTTTTGATTAATTTGAGTGTTTTCCCCACCGCTTGCATGTCAATGATTCACTGCGAACAAGCTCATTTTCCTTCTATGTTTTACTAAAATCATCTTTAGTTTTGCTTAGAAATCATCTTGATACAGCAGGGACGGATTTAGACCTTTGCACTGTTCGCCATGGTGAATGTCAGAGCAACAAAAATATAATACACAATATCAAAAACAATACAGAAAGATTATTGGTTGCCTAGACTAATACATCAGATTATTGTGTGATTGTCAGTAAAGCACTGACTCCTCTACCCAACGTCCAGCCACAGTAGCAGCAGCGATGAAGGAATGTGATGATGACATTTTCCTTAATGCGATGGTGCCCACCCCCCCATACCCTAAATTTGTCAAAATTATTTAAAAAAAGAAATTTATATTCAAATGTAGGTTGGTTGGATTTATTCGGTGTAAACACCAAGGATAGCCCACGAAAGAAGCAGACTTATTTCCAGTGGGGTCCTTCTGGTGGTGACTGGGCAGTACACCGGGAGACAATCCCCTACTCCTTTCCGAATAGTGTACTGCGTTCTTTAACGTGCACATGGGCCATAAATGCACACGGGACCAACGGCTTACACGTCTCATCCGAAAGACGGTGCGCTATTGTAACTTGTATTTCAGCCCTCCAGCTGAAACACAGAGAGGTAGCGATAGGAATTAAACCGGGGACACAGAGATCTCCATTGTATACCGCACACACATTGGCTACCACCAGATTAGCCGACTGAGCTAAGCTGCTCTCTTAAATTCTGTAAATCTAATAGTGCCATCTCCGGCCATCTAGAGGTACCATAATCATAAATGTTCTTACCTCAGCCCAACTATGCTCAAGTGTTATAGACCCTCAGTGTGTGAAAGTCTTTCCCTAATTTCCCCCTCTATTTCGTGACGGATTCAAGCAGGCCCAGTCGGCCAGTCCCCCCCTAAATTTTTCAAAATTAAGAAAATCAGTGGGGTGGGTGGGGAGAGAAAATGATATTCAAATTGTATGAGAGTTCAATTTCTGGCCATTTCGAGGTGGCATAATCATAAATTTTCTGCCCTAAATCCCAACCATGGTTGTATCTCCTCCATCTGTGAAAGTTTTTCCATGGTGCCCTCTTCAAAATTGTTTAATACACGCATCTCCAGAAATCGATTAAGTAAGACCTCAAATTATCAAAATATTCCTGATCCGTTCTCTCCCAACATGGTTTTTACACCTAGGTGCCCTCACCACTTGGAGCCATTTTGGTTCACAATTTCGCACCTACCCAATACAAATCCTACGTACGGGCCTGGCTAGCCATTTTTAAAAGGTTGTATGTTATAGAGAAAAAAAAATTGTTTATATGTCTAGTAATTGGTGAGAAGATAGCGGTATCATATTATTATCATCAATGATTAACGTCAGCACCATCCTCGTCATCATTATCGTCATCGTCCACTTCAGCACTATCGTCATCATCAGTATATTTGATCATGATGATATATCACCATTATAATATCATCATCATCATTATTATCCCCATAATCCTCATCATCATTATCATAATCATCATCATCATCTTCATCGTCATTAATATCATAATCATTGTTGTCTTAGTTGATTTTTATTTTTAGTAAACATCTTCATTATAATCATTTTTTAATGATATTCACTACCCTGCATCTATACATTATTTTAAAATATTAGTTTATTTTAATAAACTAACATTAAAAAAACATGAAATGATAAACAATACGCTTTAAGAATATTAGATAACATTTTATGATCAGTTGTATATATACATACCAATTTCTCCCCTTGATATCCAACATCAGCTAACATGTTCATGCATTACTATGTTCAGATTAGGCTTATGCACCTCATAGAGGCAATAAGTTTACCGAAAGCGTAGCGTGTTCACTAAAATATTTGTATAGAGTATATAAAATGATAATTTTCCCATATGAACTACTTTCATAAATACCGTAACTGCAGTATACAAAATAATGAGTTTAATGTCAACAATAACATTAAAACATTGAGTGTAAATAAACTTGTTATTTTCGTGTCTAATTGTTTTTGTTGTTGCAAACCTGTCAGAACGGCTTATACTAATATTAAGCCTTTGGTTCGCTGGATGACTTTCATCATCTTCTATTGATTATTTATCAAAGCTACATCATATTATTTTAGCTCAGTAATTTATTTAACATGAATACGTACAGATTTTTAACAGAACATGGTAATACATGGCGTTCAAAAATAGCTCCCTCCATAAGAGTAACCCATGGTTTATAGCAACATCAACGATGGGGGAGGGGGGTGGCTACTTTCATAAGGTCCAGTATGCGAGCGAAGCGAGCATCTAGGCTGGGGGACAGGGGCCGCCAAGGGCCCCCGGTGGGGAAGCTACGGATATTTTACGAAGTTCGGTGAATTTTGTAAGTTATTTTATAGGCATCAAGCTACTGTAATATGATTTCATATTTGTTGTAATTTAGTGGCCGATCCAGGAATCCGAAATAGAAGGGACCAGGGATTGTAATTTCACAGATTGAAGATCTATTCTACCTCAGCCCCACCATGGTTGGGGCTGAGGTAAGAAAATTTGTGATTATAGCACCTCTAGATGGCTGGAAATCATCACATCCAGACATAAAATTTGAATATAATTATCTTTTTATCTCCATTTTTTTATTGAACAATTTAGAGGGGTAGGGGTGGGGCGGCTGGGTCCCCTTGAATCCGCTACTGGCTACTTCAACAGATGGAGAATCTATATCACCTCAGTCCCACCATGGTTGGGGTAAGAAAATCTGTGATTATGGCACCTATAGATGGCCGGAATTTACACTCTCGGACTTAAAATTTAAATATAATTTTCCTTATATCTCCATTAAAAAAATTTAAAAAAAAAAGAACAATTTAGCCTTCCCCCACCCCCCTTGAATGCGCCACAGATTTCCGAACAAAGTCGAAGTCGAGATTGCTTTCACGACCTCAATGGATTATTTATCATAAGGATTATCCTTGATATGGGTTCCCCGACGAAAACTTAACTTTTCAACCGATGGATTACCCTTCTATGTAGCACGGAAATGATAATCCAACTGTGGCGGGTCCATGAAGTCCAAACAGAGGGGTTCTAGGGAGGGTCTTGCGCAAATAGAATGTCCACCCGCCTCAGCCCCACAACTGTTGGGGCTGAGGTAAGAAAAAAGTTATGATTATGATACGTCTAGATGGCCGGATATGGCACTCTCGGATTAAAAATTGAATACAATTTTGTCTTTTTTCTCCATTTTTTTTTAAATTTTGAAAAAAAATAAGAGGATGGGGTCCCGTGCTGACTGGATTCCCCATTGAATCTGCCACTGTTCAATATAACACTTGACATAGCCTATCATTTTGTTCACAAATGTCAAGCAAAAGATTTTTTATTCGATTTTTTTTTACTCAATACAGTTTTTACAACCTATAACACATTAAGTGTACTGTAAATTCTGTAGTTAACCTTCAGAGAACTTTATTTTAAAAAATGGCCTAATTAAGTATCTTATTGTTTTCGTTAAATTAGATGGAGTTTAAATGTGGTTATATTACGCTAGTTTTTAAGGTTAACTGTAAGCCAATCAGTTACACTTACTATACATCTTCGTGGTTAGCATAAAGAGAACTAGAACGTCGCTCCATTAAGAGTGTCTACCTCCCCCCATATGTCAAAATACAGAATTCACGAATGCAGGCGATTTTTTCTTCATGCTCGAGGGTGGGTTTCAAGGAAACCTTACAGACGCACGTATACAGACGCCAATCAACATTTTGTTGCTCAACTCAAAAAGGGGACTTGTAATGTTCGTTAGAAAATGAAAAATAAAATATATATAATAATAATAATAATAGGTCAATTTATAAGGCGCAAATAAACAAGGTGTAAGCACCAAATAATATTAATATTAATAATAATAATAATAATAGCCTAATAATAATAATAAGCCTAATAATAATAATAATAATAATAATAATAATAATAATAATAATAATAATAATAATAATTAAGAGACAGCTATACATGTTTAGGCAATTTAAATTATACGTATTTCCTTGTTTTTGGTTATTTGCGAGCAAGTTGGCAAATTCTCAACATGTTTCTTTATATCTGTTTAATACTACAGAGTTGTCTTTCAATCGTTTATAGTGAAGGTATTTGTTTAATTTTTTATTTTGTAGTGTAGGTTTAATAACTAATTTATTTCGAGGCAGAATGTTAATCAGTAACTGCCATGACATTGAAGTGCGTTTTATATATTTTCGACACTGTCAGTGGCATTTTACAATTTAGCCTACATGTACTCAGTGTTCAGGTGTCCCTCCAATTAAAGGCCATTTTTGGGACTGGATTTTTTGACTAGTCTCTAGCAGCTTTGGTTTCTAATATTTTTATGCTTAAATTATGTAACAAAAGTTATTATAGAAAAAGATGCATTAACATCACTAGGCCTATTTATTTTATAGTGGTCTTTATGCTATTTGGTTATTAATTGGAAGGAACAGCTAATGCCCAAAACGCATTTAACCGGGGCAACCGAAATGTGTCTGTAAATGCGGTGGCGGATTCCCACTCCTCACCAACGAAAAAAAAATTGTTTAAAATTATTTTTAAAAATTGAGAAAAAAATAAACTTTTATTCAAATTTAAGTCTGAAAGTGCAACTTCCGTCCTTCTACAGGTGCCATAATCATACATTTTGGTGTGCTGAGGTTCAGACTCCACTTTGTGAAAGTCCCCCTTGGTCCCCTTTGTTTTCAAATAAAGAATCCGCCACTGAATTGGAGCTGGCCTTAGTTGGAGGAGACCTGTATATTTTGTACATCACTATTCCCAGCATATTTAGTTTGAGAAGCTACATGTAGAATCTTATTATGATTGTGGTGACAAGTTGAACACAAACGACGTAGTCTTGATCGTGCTGGGCTGCAGACAAAATATCACGGTAACGATGCTTACGACGAGTTTAATTTTCAATCTCTAACTGAAAATCCTGTCCTAACGTCGTTAAATGCTTGTTACGTCCAATAATAATCATGTTTAAAAAATAGAGAAGGCCTATTCTTTTAACGATTTATTACAATGAGACATATTTAAAATGTTTTGAACATTATCACATATCATATCTCAATCAGTGAGACTTCTTGTTTGTTAGACATGAAATGCTTACGTTTCTTATGAGATGGTTGACTTGAAGTCAACTGTTTATAAAAGAACCGTTTGCAACGTAACAGACCTGATGATATAATTCAACAAAAACTCGGTTTCCTGTCGATTCGTATTTAATGGACGTATCGCACAGATGAGATACCGGTACTCAACGTGCGTTTCCTGTCGAACATTGCGCTACAATTATTTTACCGTGAGTTACGCCAATTTCACAAAACAAACGTAGCAACCAGTTTCCTGTCAAATTTAATTTTTCTTTGCAGAATTTGTCGCAATCGTAAGAAATTCTGAATTCTTTACGTCGACAAAAAAACCAACGTAAACGACGTACTAACTTCGAATGCGTTCCAATGCACTGTCAGATATAAACAAATGGTCGTAATAAAGCATTCAGCTAAAATAGTTGTCATGATAGCTCTATAAAATAATCACGTGATCAGAATTTTTAAATACTTTATTTATTTACTAAAATGCACCCTTTGCATGGGAAAATAATACTCAATACTCTTGGAAGGATTAGAATGCCTAATATTAATACTGGGATATTCAGGAATTCTTCGACAATTATAGAATATATAATATAAAAATTATAGAAATGTAAGATAATGTATGTTTTAAGTGGATTTCATGTAGTTACGAATTGTTTCTTGTGATGTGCTACTCAATATGTATATTTTGGAATTTCTATCATTGTTTAAGTGATGCAATTATTTGAATAAATAATTATATAGGCCTATATGATTTTGATTCGCAATAAGGAAGAAAAAGTTAATAATCGTACCATGTAGATTTGTGACAAAAAGTTACTTGCATCTCTATCTGCATTATGTTTATAATGTAGAACATTATAAAGCAGATCTGCTATTTTTTCAATGTGTTTTTTACATCCGACAGAAATTGCGTTTGCAAATCACACGTAGTATTTGCTCTTAGTATCATTGTGAAGCTTAAAGAGTTCAATTGCTTTATTGGTGTAATAATATTTAAATGTGAATAAGAATACCCACAATTTGCTTTGTTTGACTATTCTGACAGTGATTAGCTATAGGTCTAATTATAGTAATTAATATACTTCACGTAGGACTATTCTTCTTTTAATGCAGCCTGTGCCGACTTTTTTTTGGGGTCGTCACACTATCAAGCTACATTTGTGGAAGCAGACCACTATTCAAAATTCATAAGATGGAACGAAGTTACGTGTCAGCAAACGGGCTATCAACTTGTAAGCATAACTACTTTAGACGAAAACAATGCAATCTTCAATTCCTTAGAAAACTGTACTCACGGAGACTACGCCATCGGATTATCTCGACAGATGGGAAAGCCGAGAACCAGTGCCAGCAGTTGGAAGTGGGAATCCGGTGAGACTGTGAACCTGCTAAATTGGGATAGTAATGAACCAAATCAGGAAGACAGTATGTTCGCAGGAGTGTATATGACGACTCAGGCATCCTATGTACCTGGTAAATGGCACGACCTTGAGAATAACCAGCGAATAGGGTTATATACTGGTAGTCTTGGATATGGATATATTTGTGAAAAATTAACGTTACGTAAGTGACAATAACTAATCAACATCTTGTATTATCCGCCAATAAAAGTAAAATACATAATGTGTACACACTCATCGTGTCAATCACAATAATTTTACACTTAATAATTATGAGTCACATACATGATACTGAACATAGCCGGCTCATCCCAACCTCTTTATGTTTTATAACACAGCAACTACACAGGTATCAACAACTGTTGTTGGAACATCAATGCAGTCGCTTACCAGTACTATAAAGTTGAGTACCACTCGTAGGCCTACATCAAGTTCATCCACCGTAATTGATCGAACCAAAGAGCGATCTAGTATCAGTGATGAAACAATTACATCTAATACAGAAGGTATGGTAGGCAAGTAAGCACACAGTGTCATTGTGCTAAATTAAAAATAATACTGGGTAAAGTTGTAGACATGTATGCAAATATTTTACATGTAAAACACAATCACATACATGAATGCAGAAATGAACTTATACCCGTCTCATTTTTTTTTTTATTTATAGCAAGGACCTACTACAATACAACCAAAAAAACAACTGGAACCAGTGATGAACCAAGAACGGAGGCTAACACAGGAGGTAATGTTAAGCATCACAAAGTCACTGAACTAAATATAAGCATAAAAGTGGATAGGAGGAATTGTTGTTTTTTTTTTTTAAATAGTACCGAGTCATTAAAATTCACATCTGGTATCAGTCTGATATGCTATATAGTTGAGAAAAGAACCAATGATAGTCAAGTTCAGTAGTCAATGAACACATTAAATTGCTTAGGTAAAACATAATTGTGTCATCCATGTACACATTATAAAACACAATCACATACTAAACACACGAACAACAAAAAAATCGTTTTTGTTTCACAGCAACCACAAAATTATTTACAACTGCTAGTGGAACATCATCACAGTCTTTAACCAGTGGTGTACAAAGCACATCAATATCTACCACGGTAAGAGAATCTACAGAAAGAACTGCTAACAATGATGAACCAAGTACAAAGGCTGCTAAAGGTACAGGTAAAGATAGGCCATTAACTGTAATTGGCATAAACTTAGGAAGTTGTTGAAATAGAATAGTTGGTACCACGATATATGAGTCGGATAAATCAATGATAAGTATGTGACAGTAAAAACAACACCTTCAATTATTGTATCTTTTGAAATAGATTCATCATCTTGTAATTAATTTAAATTCTATTGCACAAATCAATGCTGCACAAATCATAGCTCGGCTCCTTATAAACCCCATTTTCCTTTTACAGCGACATTATTATCCACGACTGTTGATGAAACAATACAGTTAACCAGTGGTAGGTCTATGCAGCCGAGTAATAACACACCTGCATTACCAACGACGGTAACTGATGAAACCAAAGAAGGAACTGGTACCAGTTATAAACCAAGTATGAAGACTACCACAGATAAAGGTAAATATTGGCAGTTAACAGAAAGCGTAATTGTGTGGCTTGAGAGGTTGCTAATGGAAAAGCTCTACACTTTCAATTACCGCACCTTGCGTTCACAATCATCATGTTAATAGTTTACATTATTAAAACGCAATCACATACATCAACGGTGCACACATCATAACCCTGCTCATATCAACCTCTTATCCATTCCACAGCAACAACACAATTATCCACGACTGCTAGTGGAAGTGGAATATCAATGCAGCCATTTTCTAGTGGTATTCAGTCGAGTTCCACTTACCGTATACCTAAATCAACACCAACCACTGTAATTGGCGAATCCACAGAGGGAAATAATGAAAAACAAATCACGAAAGCTAACACAAATAAAGGTATGCAAAAACAAATTATAACTGTAACTTGCAGCGTCATTGTGCTAAATTCAAAATACAAGAATAATGAACCAGGAAATTTGTCCATCAATGGTAATCAATGGTGAATAAATATTCTGGGGAACAGTACGAGGTCGGGAAAATTACGGGCAGGGGCAGCAGCAAAGCCACCTGTAGCCTATTGTGAGGGTGCAGAGACGTTTGTAAGCTGTTCTAAGTGAAATTTTAAGCAGTTCTGAGAGGTTTTAAACTGTTTTTGGTGAGAAGAAGCAGGCCTTACCCCCTCCCCACAAATTACTGACGGCAAATCAAGGGAACTTAATTCCCTGCATCCTGTTGTTGCCGTAATGCCGCCACTGGTATAAGTTTGAGGTTGATTTCATATACTATAGCTATTTCTTCATCTATGAAAGAACAGTTAATGTGACTAAAAGCAATGGAATATTACCTTTGCGTGGGTGTAAAAAACTGAAAACATTGAAAAGTCTATGATCATATCGAGAATTCTTGGCACTTAAATTACTCTTCTGATGACAAGTATGGGTAAATTGAGACCTTTTGGAACTTACTGTTTACGTAGCACAATGTAATATCTAAGATATGTAAAAAACAGCAATAGATTCAGTCAACATTATTCTGATTTTGAAATAAAATTAAACTACCGCTTGGGGTTTAAAATGTGTGTATCACTATATACATTGATAATATTAGTAATATACATTGATAATATTACCTTTTCTCATATCATCAAGGAAGTTATATTAAACCTGAGGCCAACTTAACACCTTGGCGTTTGTTTAAGGAAAGTATATGTGATATTAACATAATGGCAACGTGTTTATTTATTTTTCAGGCTGGATGACGGTTGTGTATGTAGTTGCGTCATTTGCTTTTGTTATTGTAGTCTTGGTTTTATTATATAGGTGCGTATAATAGCTAACAGTACATAGCAGGTCTATATTATTTAGTTCCGGGTTACCATTAGATAATCCTCATAAATAATGGACATTCAGTATTTTCCCTAACCTACTAGATGTTTAGTTATTCTACATCAAAAGAGAGAAATACAAATATAGTTTTCAAGAATGTTTTATCATTTCAAATATTATTCTTGTAATACGCTATTAAATTGTCAGGGATGATGTGCTAATGAATTTAGAAGGTACAGGTGAGGTCATGTTAAACCTCTTGGGTGCAGGGCACAGCTTCTGAGGCAGAAGGGGCGTACCCCTTTGGATCCTCATGGTTTCTGCTTTATCGGGCCACTTAAAAATGTTAAAAGAAAAGCATTGATTTATCTAAATGAATTAATTCAAACAGATTATCGTGTTATAAAAGAAGAAGAAAAAATTAATATTTAAGTAACTTTGGTCAATGAAATGATCGGAAACGGGACTGCTAGCCTAGGCCAGCGGCGTATCTAAGGCGTGCGCACGTCCTCCACCCCCGCCAAACAAACCCCATATAACTGCCAAGTAGATAAAAATCACCTCATATCACCTTATTTTGCGAGCTAGCACTCCTCATTTAATCATGAAGAACAATTCATTCACAATTTAAAGACACCGCAATACCTACTCTATTGTTTTTTTTTGTTATCAGTATTTTTTTTAATAATGCCTAGCCACATTATAAAAAAAATATATATATATAAGGGAGTATTGCTATGGGTCACCCGGGAAAGCACAAAACTGCTTTTATTTCAATTTAATTCAAATTAATATTT